GGCATCCGCTGAAATTGGTGTTGCGAACAGTTTGAGAAGAAAGGAACAGTTTGAGAAGAAAGGAACAGTTTGAGAAGAAACTCATAAGATGATGTCTCCCACATCAAATTGCTCATTAATTTTCCGTCGTTCACATTAAATTGATGATCTTTTAGTCTTCGCAACTGTCATTCATTATAGTTTTGCTAGTCATTTGGTGGATTCAAAATGCTCATTTACCATGAGTGATATCACGTTCCATCGATTCTCCACCTCTTTGTCGGCGAGTTACGGACTCTCGAAAACGACGCTCAGTTTGCACTGCCGGCAAATTTTTAGCTTAAATGAAATTTTCTCAATAATAAATTCTGAAAGAATTAACTCAAAAACGAACACATTCAGATAATAAAAATGCTATGGTATAGTTTTCACTACACGTATTCTTCTTCAGAAGCTTTAGCGACAGTACAGTTAAAAATAAAATCAAGTTGAATGAAAAAGGATAAACATGCAGCAACTGACGTGCTGATGTGATCGATGTTTTTTGCAAGCGAACCGGACCAGTATCGGTTTTCTGAGGGCGACGTGTTCTTTCACGAGGAATATGTTCCCTTCTGACAATATTTTTTGGTTTATCGTTTTTATTGTCGTCAGCCTTATTTGTGGTTGTTTTATTCGTTGTTAATATTTGTTTCTTATTAGCCGCTGATGAGTCAGCCGATCGAACAGATGAAGGTATTACCGATGCCGATATTATAGCCCTCAATTCATACCACATATTATGCGATACACATAAATACAAAATATAGTGTCTTGAATGGTAAATGAATGTGAATATGAAACTATTGAAAAATGACCGAAGTAACAAGAATAATAATAGCACGCGATGCATACTGTTTATCAATTTTAGCCCTTTGTCTTGTTTCAGGACCCTTGTAAGCAGCCGGATTAGCCATATTGAGACGCTGCTGTATATTTGGTTTATTGGCCGCTCTATTGTTATTAATTGCCTTTTTATATAATGCCACTGGTATCGAACGACGTTCAATTTGTGGCCTTTTATTACCATCTATAATTTATCATTAAAGATATTCATCATTACATAACTAACAGNAATCTGAGTGAACTATCTGATGACAATTGAAATGAAAAGAAATTGAAACCTCTGTTATTCACTGTTGGCATATCTGATCGGCGTTTCAGTTTATTATCGCAACTAATGGATCTTGGTTTGGCCAACGATGCTTGCGTGTCTCCCGTATTTAATCTCTCAGTACTTACTCCTCGTCGATTCTGTTGAGACTGCCGAAACATTGCCATTTTTTTAATACCGAATAAACTATCATCATCTGAATTATCAATACTTTATTATTACATGTTCGCATTTTAATCAACTTTTAGATTGAACTGTTATTTTCGAAAAATTTGATAACATTCACTATTATTGCCTGACAGAGCCGTAATTTTATACTCAGTAGTGACAATCAGAAAATCTTATTTGCCCACAGCATCACCTACTGGTCCTTAGCCACAAAACATTTAGCAAATGATTCTTCGTGTTCAATGAACAGTAAAGGAAAGCCTCAAGTGAATGTTTTTCTGGTTTTTCAAGCAAAGCGTTAACTTGATTATCGCGCCCTCGCAAGATAACCGATTCACTGACTGTCAGTTTCACAGATGATTATTAAAATGATAAAACAAACCACTATCATCAATCGTCTGCTTTAAGGACAGTTCATTTTCTTTATTCTCATTCACAAAACATTCAGCTTCTGTTTGTTTAGAACCAGCCCTCACTTTATTGTTATTCAGTATGCTCCCCGCAACAATACCACTTACATCCTGCAAACGAATCTCTTGTATTATAACATTTATTCATAATCCTTCTGCCTACTTCGTATCTATGTACGTGCAATAAGGTAGAACTGATTTGATTAATCCGATTGTGACTCGAGTAGATAATTGTTTTCTTAAAGGACTGCTGCTTCTAAATTATTTGCAAAACTGATAATGATTACAAAATGATATCAGTGATATATTTCATCACTATCTTTGCAACAGTAGCTATTACTATATTGTGATGATAGTAACTTACAAAAAAGCCATCTCCAATTGTAACGTTCGAATCGTTCGCCGATTCACCGTCGGCCATTCGCTTCAAGTCAGCAAACTTTGGTACACTCGGTATATCGTAAAGAAGATCGTCCGAACTCTGCATTTTCCTGCAATTCATCAAGATCAATACCATTGTTCTTACCATCGTTACGGCTATTCCATAATCTAATCAGCTTAATACAAGCAAATATACGTATTCATCAATGGTACAGCTACAGAGACGGAATTTTGAGTCATAANTGAAGTTAGGGAGGAACGGTCGATTCTCCACCAGGTTCACAAAAACATGCACGTACATATAATCCCCATTTGCAGTCAAAAGATTTGCAGTCTGAGGTAAATTTCTCTCAGCTGAGCCTTGAAAATGGGATTGAAGTGTGGCATTGGTACAGCGATCGCATATGCTTTGGAGATTAGTTTAGAGTATCAGCGAGAAACGTTTAGTTATTTCGAAGATTAATTACGACAACATCCATTCCCTCTTTCAGTCTTCCTCGGATATTTCGAGAGAGAATTTTGAGAGGATTTAGAAGGCTTTCAAAAGGCATAATTCTTCTGGGAAGGCTTCCTGTTTCAAAATCATGATTCTTCACACAATTACAATGAGTTCAACTAAATTTTTAATCACCCCGACAGTGCTATCGATAAAACCATATTAAAACCTCCTCAAACCCTACAAAGTTTAATCCTGAAGTACAAACCAACCACTCACAATCTCATTAGACAACATTGGTAAATCACTGCAATTTGTTAAATTTCTTGAGAAATGTTGAAATTTTTGAATTTGAACAAATTACCGCTAAAAACAATCGTTTTTAAACGTTTTCGAACGTATACTGAAACTAAGAAGTAAAAATCAAGAACTGATGAATCGAAGTCGAATTAACATTGTTTGCCATGAGAACATGCCAGTTACCCTTATTGGAACATCCAGGCTCGATCAGATTCTCATCCTCATCCAAACTGGATCCGATCTTTTGATATATGAGAAATCGTATTTACCAATTGTGAAAGAAGAACCAACAGCGAGCAGAGAAAGCAGAGTACGCGAGAGAACGTGCGAGCAAACAAGAAGAGGGACATCTTTGAAATGTACAACGTTAAGCGAGAAGACGACCAAAGTGGTGGTTGGGCGCTGCGAGTCAGCTGACTGAGGTGTTGAATATGGAATGATTGATTATTGAAGAAGTGTCTATCGTTTATGTTTATTTATCTTTTTTGGCATAATGAAGGGTAATAGGTGGAGGTGAAACGCTTTTATGGGTGATTTTACTTCATCGAGTCCATCACAATCGATCATCAGTTTGCATTGTTAACACTTGACGGTGTTTTTTTTGGTTATGACCCAGATTGCAATCATGAAAGTGATGTGAATCCGACGAAATGAGAATAATCCGATGGCTTTAGCTGAATCGTTCAGTGAACATTTACATGCAATTGCATATTTAACATCTGATTCGATCGATTTATTCAATCGTTTCATAGCATGTTCTAATCGTCACAAAATGCACTTTTCCTAGATCACGCCATAGCGTATTTTATGTCCGTTCGCGTCATGCAGTGTGTGGCAATCAAATTGAAGGAGTGAACATGTCTCGAGAAGTGTTCCTAATGCTTGAATCATGCACTTATTGTCACCAAATGATTCATTTCTTATCAATATTAACTGTATTATTATCCAACTCATTTTCGTTACACCACCTTTATGACATGAAAGTTAGGATTGACATCACACTGTCGTATGATAATTCCTGTTGTGAAACAGTCGACCGGTTTGTGATGCGCTGGAACGGTAGAACTACGGGAATGTGGCGCAGGTGGGATTAGGTCATTCCGTGATATCAGGCTTATCACGAGGCTCTTCCTCAACCTGTAAGCAGAAGCTGTGTATGGAATGCAGCCTTCTCGAATAGAACCATCCCAATACAAACATATTATGTACTTGACCGAATGATAATTTATACTGCTAATGTTGATATTATATTACTTCAGTCGCTTAGCTAATATGTTCGTTCTGATTCTCATTTATAGATGATCAATTTTGTGTACATATATTTGCATTTATTGATTCATCTATCCTCTGATCGCTTATATATTTTCGTTTTGTGATTCGTTCCCTAGTCGAAACGTGTATCATTCAAAACCCTCTAGGATGCTAATGAGATGATTTGAAAAGGTTTTATTTCAGCCGTCATTCGTATGAATGCACGAAATCAGCAATTTCAGTTGGTACGTTAGTTCAGTTCTTGACTTCGTTTTCAACTTTTACATCTTCAATCAAATAACTGATGAGTTGATTCGTCAATTATATTCTTCGTTTACTCTCAAATATCCTGTCATCAATCCATCACATTAGCTGAGATCAGTGAATTTCTTCTGATCTTTCCTTAGCAATTCATTATGATTCCCAAATGAAAATCTCATTGCAGACTGTTGATTTACGGCAAGTAAGGGATGCGGTCTCAGCAGTTTTTCATACTTTATTGCTTCATAGGAGTATTGGTAAAGTTAGTTTTAAAGTTCAAATATTGTAATGATTATCGTCATTGTTATTTTTCTTACTATTAATATGTTGTTAGCGTTATCAATATTTTTCTTAATGTTTTCATAAGTTTTTTTCAATCGTGCGGTGTCCTTCAAATGATTGAAAGGAAACATTNAGAAACCTGTAGAGATAGGCAAAAATATTTCAGTTTCAATATAAAGCAGAAAGTAATTATCAACTCGGGTCAATTGGTGTCGAAGAGGTGGACTGTGAATTCGTAGATCTCACTTATGTAATAATTTATTGATTTTCATTCACGTTATTAAAATCGACGTTGATATTATTGTAAAGCAATTTTGATTACCATGAATGAAAGTCTGTGGGTTGAATAAGTTCATAACTTGATGTTCATTTGATGTTATTCATTTGAATTGACATTGAAAAATATCTGCTGACAGTATAAAAATTAAATCATGTCAAGTAATGTCTCTAGATATTATATAAGTGGGTGTTTCTGGACTTGACTATAATCAGATGTTGAGCAGTCGAACAGCAACTATAAATAATAAATGGTGAATGATGATTATAATCAACAAATTGAAGGTGCGTGTAAATAGTGCGAAATTGATATCGAAAATAAAGGATGAAGTTGATGCATTTTGTGTGGATGTTTCGAAAGCAGCTGGATGCGGAGCTGATATGAATACTTTGCAGTCAAAATCACCATCGCATATCACTCATGGCACACCGCTACTCAGTGCTAGGTTCAGATTATTATCATTGTTCAGTGCCATCGTTGGTGGAAGTATTGTGGTTGTTCATCTTCAATACGCAGTGCGGATTGCCGAACTGGATATCAAGAATATTTCCTCACTACCTTGAATGAAAATCTGTCATTTCAGAATAGCGTTAGAATTTTATCAGAGAAGGAAAAGACAGTGGCCTTTACCAGAAGATCAAGTTCCTTGGGAAGTATGGCAGTTACAGCTTGATATTGTGGATGTTCGCGAAACTGGTAATGTCACCTGTTATTTTAGTTGTTATTATTATTCATATTAATAACATTATTAATTTTTTCTAGTATTGACTGTGGTCACAATTTTTTAAAATGTCAAGAAAAGACGTCAACTTGAAAATAATTTGTCCGTAAATCGAAGTTATTTATTTTAAAAAATTCGTAAGCAAGTCAGTGAATGTTTAAGTTAATAAATTCAGTCGAATATAATGTAATGTTGAATGTTATTATAAATATTTAAAGAATATTTCGAGCGAATGCGTGAAAACGTAGCCGAGTCGCTATCAGAATTGGTGATATCGACGTGTAGTGCTATCAACAGATCGCAGTACCTACCAAAAATGCCCACAAAGAGCGAACTGACGAATGTCTTCGATGACACCTTCTCTGACTGTCAACCGTATTTGTTTCGTATCGTCAGACATCCTCTACATACCGGTTACTCCTTCTTTCATTCGTTCACTCTTCGTTTTCCATTAATGTGCATCTTTCTCTGTTCCATTTTAAGGTTTTGCATTTGAATGTATTCGACTTCTAGTGAACATATTCAGTAATGAAGAAGTTATGGTAATGATGCAGTCGTCATATTAGTTCTTCATGGATTACAAATTGAAGTATTCCAAAATTTATTTCTTATCCCCATAAATCAATTGTGTAATAAAAATATTTAAGGTGATAAAAGATCTGAAACGAGTACATTCTTGACCTCAAGCGGTCTGTCAGCGGTAAAGAAATTGCTCAAGGATTCATTATTATTCTAGTTACGTATTTCTTAATCCACTTTGATGTATATGTTTATTCATTATTCACTTTCGTTTGCATTATCGTTTTTTTCGGAAGAATTGTAGCGTGATTTTGGAATGAATTACTTACTGCTTTTCGAATGGTAACTTTTATTTTTGGTTCCATTATTCGGTTCGGGGTTGAGAGATTAAAATAATTNTGAGAGATTAAAATAATTTCATAATTTTAAATTTTGATTAATCTTTTTTTAGTTGACAGTTATCGTCCAATGAATTAAAGAATTGTTCTTGTAAAACTTAAGCGAAATGAAGTCATTTGCTTACTAAACGCGAGAAGTTCATTAATTTTAGGTTGTCACTATTTTAATATTAGTTTGAACTGAATCGTTCAATCGTTGTTCAATGAAATTTATTATTATTGATGATTTTTATGAAATTATTTTAATAGATTGCCTTCCCAAGAAGTGTACTTTGAATGTTCAATGTAACAGATTTTATAAAGATGAGAGCTCGATTCGATTTTCATTACAATCTCGCGTTGAGAAAGATTTCCACTAGAGGTAAGGGCAGTGATCAGAGAAGTACCCTTCTTGGGAAGGCAATACCAGTGCCCTTACGAAATAGGGATAGATGTTTGTCAAAGAGGAGTCATATCATCGACCACTGTTTTATTGGGACCTTGTTATCGTTTTACGTTCTACTGTCGTCGTCATTACTCTCGTCATTTTCAAAGAAAGCTGTTACTGAATTATGTGAAATGAATCTGTATTGGTTTTGATTCGTGCTTTCTCAGTGAATTTCACGTATAAATGCAAAAAACATGTTGAATATATATTCAATAAAATCATAATTATCGATTTTGTAAATATATTTTGCTACTCAATCATTTGTGTAAATAAGACTTGAAACGATTTATTAATCTTATTTGGATGTATTTGTTAGTTTTTCTTTGTTCATTTAGTACCACGCTAATGATGTATCTTTTCTGTGCGATCTTTCATAATTTGTTTCCATAAATTCATTTGGGATGGAACTTCGTTCTGTTTGCTTTTCAACTGAAACTGAAACGTCCCAATTGATTGCTTTTCTCCGATTTTATGTGATTGCAGTGTAATTGTAATTATCGTAAATAATGGTAAGATTTGTTAGGTTGTAGCTAGTGTAAAATTGAAATTAAAGGATGCGTCGATTCAATACAATTTCGTGTATTTATCAATATGAATTCGTTAATGGTCATCTAATGAAACTAAAATCTCGAATTGAGAACTGCAATCGAAAAAAATTTTTGTGTTAAATGCGTAAAATTTGATTTATCATTGAGTAATATTTTTGTGGTAGTGAATATGAAATCCGTTTTGTTGGTATTGTTTCAAATAATAAATGTAGATTTGATTTCAGTATGTGGTTATTGCTTACGAGCAGTTTAAAGCATTGGTGCACGTCGGTTTTTATGTGAGGAAGAAGTGGGGACGGGGAAGAACTTTTAGATTCTCGGTTGTTTCTTAGGGAGCGGTATTTCACCGGTTTTAGTCGTAGTAGAAAAATACGTGAATGATTTGAAATTCATGCGTTAGGGTGC